AATTCCTCAGTAATCAGAGCTCATCTTATTTTAAGACATGAAAAATTCCATGTCATTGATTGTTCTTTGCATTGCCTTTGTCTCCCAGAATGTAACATGACAGAGCTATTATTAAACGTAAGAAGGAGGGTTTTAATGAAACAGATGTCTCTGTTATGGCAACAAGGAAATAAACTGCAAAACAAATTCCACAGTAATCAGAGCTCATCTTATTTTAAGACATGAAAAATTCCATGTCATTGATTGTTCTTCACATTTGTCTCCCAGAATGTAACAGACAGATCTATTATTATTTTGATTTAGGGATGATTAAGGAAACACCACCACGTTCACTAAACCTTAGTTATTTGTAAATGTGGGGTATAATTTTCAGTGCTATAAAATTCTAATTTAATGTTTGCATTTTGGTATGCAAAACATGGTAACTTTATAAGTTTTCACTTCTTTTGGTGCTTTTGCAAAGGTATTGTAGTTTGTTTAGTGCTCAGTTCAGTGCTTTTTACCCATGCTATCTGAGTTTGTATCAATCCTGACCAGTTCATCTGGTCTGTCCAGATTATGTTACTAGCTACCTAAAAGTACCTGCATATGAACATTCTTGGTATGACGGAGGTTTTACACTACATTGTGTTGCACCTGTACAATGACATTTGATAACAACAAAATGTAGACATTTTGCCATACTCTATCTAGCCATATTTCTCATTTCTCATTATCAAATAAACTAAAAAAGATAAATATACACTGTCAAGTTGAGGAAGTGTGCTCTCTGAAATTCTAAAAATGGGAACAAACAATAGACAAATTTACCAAAGCAAGATCAAACTCTACATCAAGGACAACATGAAGAAGCATTTCTACCATTTGACAACATCTGGCAAACTATGGGTCATTCAAATATATATATACAGTGTTGGGAAGGTCTTTTTGGAAATGCAATAGGTTACAGATTACAAGTTACCCTACTTAAAATGTAATAAGTAGTGTAATTTTTCAATTACTTTATTAAAGTAATGTAACTGATTACATCTGATTAATTTTCAAATTTTCTAATGTTTTCACCTGTTTATCATTTTCAAACATGTAAACCAGGCAGGGTAAACCTTACAGTAGTACTCAATACTGATTACTGTCACACTTTCGAAATCCTTCATCACTTGAATTAAGATTATATTTCAATTTTAAAGGGGTCATATGATGCGATTTAAATTTTTCCTTTCTCTTTGGAGTGTTACAAGCTCTTGGTGCATAAAGAAGATCTGTAAAGTTGCAAAGACTAAAGTCTCAAATCCAAAGAGATATTCTTTATAAAAGTTAAGAGTTAACCACTCCTACCTAAAACGGCTCGTTCTAACACGCCCCCACATGTCTACGTCACTATGTGGGAAGATTATCCGCCGGCCGCGCCGTTCTCAACCCCGCTGCCTCTGCTCACTCTAGCCCGACCTCTGCTCACGCTAGACTGCGGTTTCCGCTCACGCTAGGCCACCATGTGTCTCGTTGTGAAAGCGAAACTACTTTGTTTGGTCTTCCAAAAGAGGACACGACTACAAATCAGTGGTTAAGTTGTATTTACAACACTGTTCCAGAACAGTTCAACCCAAATATTCAGATGTGTGACTATTCAAACGCAAGTTTTGGGCAGTGTAGAGTAGAGTTTGTAGTTTGTCATTTCTCCGATCACAAATGCAGACATGGTTTTATGTTTACGTGGTGCTATGCAACGCAACGCATAAAAAGACAGTATAAGTCATTATAATCAGTAATCATGTCCCCACTGGATGCAACAAACGCCTCATTTATAATAGGTTTTAATGTTTTTGAATCATCGCTCCTGCCGGGACACGGCATCAACAGTATGGTGAGGGGCGTAACATTTCCATCACACGCTTGAGGTATTCGGCCAATCACAACGCACTGGACAGCTGGCCAATCACAGCACACCTCGCTTTTAAAAAGACAGTATAAGTCATTATAATCAGTAATCATGCCCCCACTGGCTGCACCAAACGCCTCATTTATAATAGGTTTTAATGTTTTTGAATCATCGCTCCTGCCGGGACACGGCATCAACAGTATGGTGAGGGGCGTAACATTTCCATCACACGCTTGAGGTATTCGGCCAATCACAACGCACTGAATAGCTGGCCAATCAGAGCACACCTCGCTTTTCAGACTGATGAGCTTTGTAAAAATCGACGCGTTTCAAAAAGGCGGGGCATAGAGGAGAAGCAATAATGTACAGTATGTGGAAAATAATGTGTTTTTTTAACTTTAAACCCCATAAACACATTTAATTACACCAAATACACAAAATAATGTTATTTTTAGCAGCATCATATGACCCCTTTAAAGTAGACCTTAGATGCAAAATTCAATTTTACATGGTGTTTGCATATAAATGTATCTTAGCAGCGTGTGGACACAACCACCCTACAATGATAAAAATCCATTCACTCCTTTTATTTAATCCCCCAAAATCCTAAACAGTCTCAATTATCAAGCCGTTTCGATTTTCTGAGCAGTATGATGTCATATTGTTCATGCCCCGCCCACAACCGCCACTGAGGACGCAGTGCATTAGTTTTGTTTTTAATGGTAATGCGCCACTGAATACACCTAAATTCGTTTATGTTTGTGCAAATAATTTTACTCCAGACTGCTTTCTGAACGATGGACAATTAAAGGCAGGTTTTGTTAAAGGGGTCATATGATGTTGCTAAAAAGAACATTATTTTGTGTATTTGGTGTAATTAAATGTGTTTATGCGGTTTAAGGTTGTAGTAACAAGGTGTGTGAAAAATAGCAGATGTAACCCCCTTTTGTAATCCTTAACATTTCATAAGTAACTGTAATTTAATTACACGTTTTTTCTCAGTAACTGTAACTGATTACAATTACTTTTATTTTGTAATTAAATTACGTAATTCCGTTACATGTAACTAGTTACTCCTCAACACTCCCCTTGTCCAAATATCCACACTTGCGGTCTTAGCCACTTGAGAGCGCGTGCACGCGACAGTAAAGTAAATGCGCAAGACTGTCCCAGGTCTTAAAAATACCAAAGCACAGTGCCCTTAACGCACACTAAATCCGCTATTCGAGGCTTAGTGTATCCCATCATGCATCACGTTCTGGAAATAAATCGTGAGACTTTTTGCCAAGATCGCGCGAGAGGTCACGGAAACCTTTCCAATGTAAGTTAAATATTAATAATAATAAGATATTACATATAATTTGGTGGTAAAACAAAGTGCTACACATTTTTATTGCTGCAAAGATTAGTATATTTATTTTTGTACAACATTTGCAACTGCTTTTTATCACTTAATTAAATTGTGTCATCTATAGCAGTGTTTCCCAAACGGGGTGCTGTGTAAAAAATCCTTTTTTAATATTTAAAAATTGCTAAAATGTTCAAAAAAGCATCTATTATATAATATCCATTTCTGATGTCGCCAATAATTAGAGATGCACCGAAATTTCGGC